CAAGAAGATGGGGGAGTGGATCGAGCCCCCGTAATTCTGAATTAACTATTCATTCAAACATGAAAGAACATTTCACTTTATGAGTCACGTGAATTGCCAAAACTACACGATCAAACCCTACGCCGATCCGGACAGATTGGGTAGGTTTCCATAGATTTCTCCACTTATCTTAATGTCCGAACAAAACATAAAAACTAACATATTTTGTAGTTATAAAATATGAATAAATGTAAGATGAGCACAAATTTACTATACCTTAAGATACAATAATGATGGATCACATTATTTCAATGATACATGTCGACGATGGTCGATGAGATATTTTTGGGTCGCACCTCGGTCCCATCAACCACACACGCGAGAAAGCCAATCCGAAGGCTGAACCAATCGGGCACATATCTTCAGATTCTCTTAGCAGCTCAAACCGCTCCCTTTCGTGACCCATCCATTAACTTGGAGAGCGGTTATTCTAACGTGCACGTGAGGTGCCGTGCATGACTTAGCTTTTGATGCATTTTGTGAGGATCAGTGCCACCTTTTCCACTATGATTCTTCGTACTATTTCTATTATTTGTGTACTCTAATATTCATGTTGTGTTGTGTTAGATATGGTACAGAGTTGTGTGTTATCCTAGAAATTGTACAGTGCAACTATCCTTCTAGTCTCTCCTTTCAAAAACACATGCATTAAAATCTTATTCTAAAAATTGAAACGTCCATCTATTGAACACAAAGTCAGATTTATGATCCTTCGCACATTTGTGTTTGTGGTAATGAGGCTTTATAACAAGTTCAATATTGAATATATTTTTACAGATTTTCAAATTTTTATTATGAAATATGACAAAACTCTATAAAACATATTGATGAACTATAGAACATGAAAATAATAATAAAACTTTATAAGAGTGAATGTTTAATAAAATCATGATATTAAGCTAGAAGTGTATCGATACAGAATGGAACATCGTGATATGCTCTCGAAGACGATAAAACACTACAATAGAACATTTCAAAAAAAATGAATATATATTTTGTTTATTAAACATGTTTGAAGTGTAGTGAAAACAACAACTCATGATAGAACTTTGTGAATCATGAAGAAACTAGAAAAAAAATATTATCATTTACAATGAAATACAAAGTTTCTAAAAAATTTAAAATGTTTCATTATATTTGACAAAAAAATAATCATGGTGTTTCACTTTGGTTCATCTGTTCGAAATCATATCATAATGTTTCATTCTGTGTCAATACACTTCAAACTTAATATTGATTTTTTAATAAATAATCATTCTCATCATTCATCAATTTTTATTAGTTTTCTCATGTACTAGATTGCATCACTATGTTTCATAGAGTTTCTCTATGTTTTGAAATACAATTTTTATTTTTTCTAAATATACTTGGAAATGGTCTTGTTTGAAAATCCTAATCATAAGGAACTCAAAGATGTAAACATGTCGTAAATTAGACTTTACATTTAAAAGATAGAATCTAATGAAGTATTGAAATCATGCGAAAAAGTGTGAATAGATAAGGGCATCTCCAAGGAGCAATCAGCGGAGAAACCCGCGAATATTTGGATCGGATGGTCCCGAGACACTTTTTAGGTCTTTAACGCAAGTCGTCACATGTCCGCGAAATGACCTGGACGAGTCCAAAATCGAAACTGTCAACAAATCTAGGAAGATTTGAACAAGTCCGGACATCTGCACAGGCACACTGCCCGTTCCCACAGCCACGTCTTCGATTCATCTTTTTCAAACGTGTTCGGAAACCTTTTTTAACATAGTAGACACATGCGTTCACAGATACGCACATGCACTAACAACTATGAAAGATCGCACACACATACTATACCCTTGTAAGCATCTCTGAGAGATTGAACCGACACACCATCTTGAGATTGATAAAATCCCCACAGACGCTTTTGTAGTCAATTGGAAGTCTCTTCCCATTGAACGCACCTCGTTGGAAGGCTTGAGATAAATCCAGAAAAATGCGAACACCAATGTCAAATTTAGTTGTGGTATCCGTATCCTGTTGAGATGTGATACCATTGTCCTTCTAACTATCCGACTACAACTAAAAATACATTTAACACATGTCCACAAATATTTGGTGATTGCCCGTTGAAAATGCATTTTAAAGAGTGGTCGGCGTGTGACACAACTGCTACATGACTGATTGATGTGACACAGTAGCTTCTAAAATACCCAGTTGGGTCCCGCCGAACTTTGCACTGCCCCTGTCCGCTCGTTAACCCGTTTCTGTATCTGCTTATAACAAAACAAAATAAAAAGAGGGTAGAGAACAGGAGTCGAGATGAATAAACAAATGGAAAGCAGATGCGAGTTCAACTTAAACCTCGCCACTTTGTTTGTCTGGGCGCAAGGAGGAGTGCCACCTTCCCCCCGCTCCCATGCCGACTCAGCGGCCGGAAAATCCCGCGGCCTGCCAGGCGCCGCCGCGTGCGCAACCACCTGTCGACATCCCCTGCGGCCTGCGTATATACACCTCGGCAGCTCGGCTCGACACGACACAGCTCCTCCCAGTCCGTCCCAATCCACTCACCGCACGACACCCCGCTCGTTCCCCAAGTAGCTAGCAGCAAGCAAAGATCCATCTTCTGGCCGTCTCGTGATGATGAGCGGCGGCGTCAGCGGCATGGAGTCGTCGTCCTCATCCGGGAGCTCCTCTGGTTCGGCTGCCGGGGCGGGGGTGGCGCCGTTCGTGGCCAAGACTTACGGGATGGTGGACGACCGGCCCACCGACGCCGTCGTCGCGTGGGGGCCCGCCGGCAACAGCTTCGTCGTCGCCGACCCCTTCGCCTTCTCGGAGATGCTGCTGCCCGCGCACTTCAAGCATTCCAACTTCTCCAGCTTCGTCCGGCAGCTCAACACCTACGGCTTCCGCAAGGTGGACCCGGACCGGTGGGAGTTCGCGCATGCCTCCTTCCTCCGCGGCCAGACGCACCTCCTGCGCCACATCGTCCGGCGCCAGAGCAGCGGTACCGGAGGCAGGCGCGGCAAGGACGACCGCGAAGATGAAGACGGCAGCAGCGCGATGTTAGCCATGGAGGTGGTCCAGCTGAGGCGGGAGCAGAGGGCCACCGAGGAGCGCGTGGCGGCGATGTGGCGCCGGGTGCAGGAGACGGAGCGCCGGCCCAAGCAGATGCTCGCCTTCCTGCTCAAGGTGGTCGGCGACCCCGACATGGTGCGCCGCCTCGCAGGCAGCGGCCAGGACGAGGACGCGCGGGTCAACAGGCCGCGGCTGCTTCTCGACAGCAGGGAAGAACAGAGGATGCCCGTCGACGGGCAGTCGTACCACAATCACAGCAACCTGAACATGGAGGAGGCCTATGTGCTGGAGCCCAGCGTGGAATTGTACTACGCCGGAGGCGACGTGCAGGCGGACGGCGGCGGACACCCGCCGTACGCGTTCCACGTCAACAGCGGCTACTGACTGCGTGCGTGAACGCTGTCCGGCATCTGTATTTTGTGGCTTTGTCGAGAGAGAAATAGGCACGTGCAGGAAGCTAGCCAGATACTAAATACTCCGGCATAGCTCAGGAACAGAAACGCCGCACTTGTATAAGAGACGCTTAGATCACAATGTCTCTGGAATTTAGTCAGTGTAAGTTTATATTTCTTTGTACTCTCTTCGTTCTTAAGTATATCTCATTTTAAAGATTTTAGTATAGACTATATATGAATGTATATAGACATATTTTAAAGTATAAATTCGCTTATTTTAATTCGTATGTAGTTTATATTGAAATCTCTATATATCTAAGAACAAAAAAGTCTATATCCAAGAACAAAGAAAGTAGTTTATATTTATTTACGGAGGAAGTGTTGACGTATAATGTGCTGCCTAGTCTCTTTCATCAGATCGGTCTTTTAGTTGTATTGGTTAGAGTGTGCATTTCTACATGGTATCGAAGCCAAAAGGTCTTGAGTTTAATACCTGGCTGGCGCAATTAAATTGTAGCCCAATTTCGATCCACGTTTAGGCCTGAGAAAGCCACACATGAGGAAAAGTGTTGACGTATAATGTGTTGCCTAGTCTTTTTCATTAGATCGGTCGGTCTTTTGGTTGCATATAGTTTATTTCTGCGTGTTGGCTATTTCTATTAAAACATGATTCTGGCTTGTCTTTTCTCTTTGCCGGAAATGAATCTGCCTGTCACCGCGACGTGTTGGCTACCTCGACCACCGCTCCTGCGCCCTCGATTACTTTGATATATGGAGCAAGGCTATCACCTTATGATTAATATTTTTCCAAAACATATGTGAGGGTACGGCGACTATGGGGAGCCGTTATTGGGCCAGCCAAGTAACCACACGGGCGTGTCAGACTGACATCACCCATACTTTTTTACATTTTTACTATTGTTTATATTTTGAAATATTGTAAATATATATAATGCAAAAAAACACGTTCACATATGTTTTGGAAAAATATTAATCATGTATTAGAAAATGTTAAACAAGTATAGCAAAACATTAATCGTGTGTACGGATAAATGTTGGTGACATTAAAAAATGGACGTGATATTTAAAAGATGTTTTTACAATACAAATAAATATTTAAAGAATTAAATAATTGTTTTTAGAAATGTACATTACATTTTTTAAAATATTCAAGAGTTTCAAAAACGTGTTTGTGGAATTTTCAGAAAAAAGTATACAATGTTAAAAAAATGTTTCGTGATGTAATAAAAAAATTGTGCTATTAAAAAAATGCACATGAAATTTTAAGTAAAAAATCAATCGATTCAAAACAAATGTTCATGAAATTTTTCAGTGTTGACTATAAAATGTAAAAAGATGTTCCTGTCATTAAAATAATGCTTATTCACATTATAAAAAAGTATGTGATATTTTATAAAAATTGTTCAAGTGTGTCTAAAAAAGGCCGTGCAAATTTTAAAAATGTTCATACAATGTAAAACATGTTCATGTAGTTTAACAAATGTTTATTGCCATTAAGAAAATATGCAGCATGTATTTGGAAAATATTACTGTCTATTCAGAAAAAGTGTTCAAAACATGTATTTTTTAAAATGAAAATCATGTGTTTGAAAAAATTTCGAAGTGTGTCAAAAAATAGGGTTATAATGATACCCAACCACAACCCTCTGTCTTCCTTTAATTATATCTCACCTCATCTAAAATTTCTAGTTGGCATGAACAATACTTACAAGTCATCTTTTGGCCGGTTCATGAATCATTGGGCCTTATATATTTCGTAAGCATTTAACTCCAAAACAACTATAGACAAATCATATGAACTACTTTGTGCATCTGATGGAAAAAAATGATAAACGCCATGATAACGTTGGTGGATTATTATAATCATATAAGTTTAGAACATACTTTACCATTGGCGGTATTACCTCGTAATATTTCTAAATAATCAAATGCAAGATGCAGAGCTCAAGCTCAAATGCATAGCAGTTCACAATCTTTTTTTTTAAGTTCCTTCTAGCTCCTTCATCTTCATCCTCTACAATCATGTTTGCATTATCATCCGAGCTGTCATCATCTCCCACAAGGTCTCTGGATCTCCAGGTCCTCGAAAAATCGCAAAACGGGCTTGGAGCACTCCAGATGCCCTCTTCACATCCTTGCTAGCTCCTTCTTATATTTGGGCAAACTGAGCTCTTTTCTGACCAACTGGCTCAAAGATGGTCTCGACGAAGGTCACCAATGGAGGATGGATACCATTAACTAGATAGTAGCCCATGATGTAGTCATGACCATTGATGGTATAGTTGACACGGAGGAGTTTGTCCTTTAGTCAACCTACCAAACAAAGAAGACTGCTGCAACACGTTGATGTCATTGTGAGACCTAGGCATGCCAAATAAAGCGTGTCAAATTCATAGGTCTTATGATGCAACAGCTTCAAGAATGATTGTGGGCTTCTTAACATGTCCCTAATTTTTGCCCTTGGAGAGCACATGGGCAGTTTTTCTGTCTCCATTGCATGCAGTCGAGGGATCCAAGCATACCTAGCCACCCTCTTACTTCTGAGAGTGACATTAGCCTTTCGGTGTCTACGTCAGTTGGTCCTCTTAAGTACTACAGTCCAAACACCTTGACCACCCTTTTAGCAAACCTCACCATGGCAACTCTACATGTGCTTACAAACATTCAGAGGTACTTGTCCCATGAATCTGTGTTGGTTCCATGGGCGAGTATCCTCAATGCAGCGTGCACTTCTGCTAATCAGGGTATCCATTTTTTTTCCAATGGCGTCATTTTTCAAGATGAAGTAGTCATCATAAGCTCGGACACCATTGTTGAGGCGACGAAAACATCTCTGCGCATCCGAAAGCGCCGGTGAAAATTGTTCGTGAATAGGGCATCTAGGGCAAAGTAAAACTTTCATCATCGTCAAATGCCCTCGTGTCCTCTTCCGATTCAACACTCGATGTTTCTTGATTGATCCCTTAAAATTCAAGACATGATCCTCCGCATGATTTGCTTCTACTAGGACCTCCTGCATCATCGTTGTTTCATCCACATCTGATGAGGACGACTCCATGAAGTTGATGTAGAAGTACATGTCGTCAGAATCCATCGTGTTTGCCTCGAAGTATCAAAGTACATAGAAAATGTCAACGCTATGACATTTGGACAAACACTTTGTGGGTGTGGTGTCCGCCGTGGATGGCAACTGCAGGGGTAGACGGTACCAGGGCAGCGGATGGGCAAGGGGAGCGGGCGATGGTGTAGTCAAAGCGCGCCTGGTTTCTGGTTGCAACGGCGAAGATCTGGGCGGGTTGATACAGCGGCCGCGGCAGCCTATCCAGGAGCGGATACAAAAAGCTTTGGGAGCGAAGTGAGAAAGATACACATGCTTTAGGCGTAGTTGCGGGTGTGTCGAGGGTGTCGAAGGCCTAATGGCGAAGGACCGGACTCCCGCGAGCCTCCCCAACTTTACATTCAATTGCTTAAATTCTCATCTGCAAATATACATGGCACTGGCGAACCAACCTGTGGTTGGATGGTTAGAGGGACAATTGTATCCCCGGCCCACCAAGATTCAAGTCCTGGTGCTCACATTATTCGTGGATTTATTTCAGTATTTTCAGTGATGCGCTTTCGGCGGGAGGGGACGTTTTCATCGACGACGAGGCGTCTACGGTAACTTTGTAAATTTCAAGATGTCATGTCGTCTCAGTCTCTCGGAGGTGCTCGTAGGGATAGGGTGTGCGTGTGTACGTTCATAGGGATGAGTGTATGTGCGTATGTATGAGCTCTTGCGTCTGTACTGAAGTAAAAAAAACATATGTGGCACTGCATTGGATGGTTAAAATAGTCTGGACACGTTGGTCGAGACATTTGACGTTCCCGAGCCTTTTCTCTTTCATAACCCATCCATGAGCCTTTGTATATTGATATTGAGATAAACAGAAATCAATCTTTATATATTGTCCCCCAGGCCTAGTGGCTACCCAGAAAAAAGAAGCAACCCCCGTCCACAAGTTAACCCGTTTCCTCGGGAGCGCAGCTCACCACAGAAATGGAAAGCGGATACTTCGCTTCAACTTGGCCGCTTTTGTCGACTCAGCGGCTACAATATCTCGCCGCCCGCCGCGTGCGCCACCACCTGTCACCCCCTCCCCCGTCGACATCCGGCCTACATAGAGAGTGAGAGAGAGAGAGCGAGCGCAATACACATCTCGCAGTCGCAGTCCGCTCCCCCTTCATTCCCCGACCAGCAACAAGCAAGCGAGCATCGTCTCTTCTCTCTCTCCCTCCGTCGCCACGATGAGCGGCGGCATGGACTCGTCGTCCTCGGGCTCCGGGAGCTCTGGTGGTGCGGGGGTGGCGCCGTTCGTGGCCAAGACGTACGGGATGGTGGACGACCGGGCCACCGACGCCGTGGTCGCGTGGGGGCCCGCCGGCAACAGCTTCGTCGTCGCCGACCCCTTCGCCTTCTCGCAGGCGCTCCTCCCGGCGCACTTCAAGCACGCCAACTTCTCCAGCTTCGTCCGGCAGCTCAACACCTACGGCTTCCGCAAGGTGGACCCGGACCGGTGGGAGTTCGCGCACGCCTCCTTCCTCCGCGGCCAGACGCACCTCCTCCCCCGCATCGTCCGCCGCCAGAGCAGCGCCAAGCGCGGCGGCAAGGAGGGCGGCGAGGAGGAGGATGAGGAGAGCAGCAGCACGGTGTTGGCCATGGAGGTGGTCCGGCTGAGGCAGGAGCAGAGGGCCACGGAGGAGCGCGTGGCGGAGATGTGGCGCCGGGTGCAGGAGACGGAGCGCCGGCCCAAGCAGATGCTCGCCTTCCTCCTCAAGGTGGTGGGCGACCCCGACGTGCTGCGCCGCCTCGCGGGCAGCTCGGGGGGCGGCCAGGACGAGGGCGCGGAGGAGGTCAAGAGGCCGCGGCTGCTGCTCGACGCGGACGGCGCGGGGGTCGACGCAGGGGGGCTGTTGTACCACCACCACCACAGCGGCAACCTGAACCTGGAGGAGGCCCTGGTGCCGGAGCCCAGCGTGGACATGTACTACGCCGGAGGGGACGGTTTTCACATGGACAGCGGCTACTGACCGGCTGCTGGTTGGGCGGCCGATCAACCCCCTCCCCACTGTCCCCGACTGCTCTGCTCTGTACTGTATCTGTATGTATGTAGAGAAAGGAGGCTAGATAGGGGTTAGGCTCTGACTTGTGGCTGTAGAGGAGATCGAATCTCAATCTGCGAGACATATTTTTGTTTACTGTGTGTATTTTAGCTCAGCAACTTTGATCAGGTGAGATGTGTAAAACCTGTGTTTGTGTTGCGAGGCCAGGAATGCGCAATGCTGGAGGCACATGCGGCATCACGTCTCATGGATCTGCTCTGCTCAGGTCTCTTACTCCCTCCGTTCCTTTATGTAAAGTATATTATTTTTATTTTTGGCATGGTGATCAACACACATAATTACAGATTAGTTAGGACTTGGCAAATTAATTGATTAGTGGTAAGTAAATTAGTTAGTCCAAAAAAGTAAAAGATACATGCAATCAATAGAGATATTTTACTTCTTTTGCTGCGAGTCTGGAGGGTTAACAACGAATTAAAAGAAATGCACCTTATATTTTAAAATTTTATCAAAAATCAAATACACCATATATAAAAGGAGCGGAGGGAGTATGATGACATGACATAATGGGCAAGGCCATAGTCTTGTGTTGCCAGGGCCGTTTGGGCGAGAAGATTGATGGACACAATTATGTTATGGCCTAACAGTAGTGACAAATCTTTTACAAAAATCAATTGTTCTTCATCTGAAGCTCAGTGCAGCTATCGCTTGTGATTCTCAGGTAGAAAAGGAAGTAAACCTCTCCACAAAATCACAAGCAACACACGCTACTACGGCAAGGTTGGGCATGCGCATAGCAATTTCCTGAAAATTAACTGCCACTGGTTGGACCTCGACGGCACACATTTCTGACAAGACCTATCCATCAAACATTGCAACTGTGCATATCAAACACTTTGGAATGGTAAACCATAATTGTCGTAAAACTCAGTTCCGCCGTCGGTTTGGACACAACCCACGGCCGAGACAAAACCAACCGGAGGAGCGCTAGAAATGAAAGATGGGCCAGAGTTCTCACAGGACCATGTCTCTGGCATATACAGTAATAAGATGCCAATCAACCCTGAACCAACAAGGAACCCTTCACAACAACGAATGGCGTGACAAGATTACGACGACTCTTTCTTCTCCTCCGGCTCCGCTTCCTTCTTCGCCTCGGGTTCCTTCTTCTCCTCTGCGGCCTCTTCGAAGGTCTCTCCTGGGACGAGCTCTGGGACATCGTCATCATCGTCCTGGGCAGCACCGATGCTGGCGCCGCCAGCCTCACCACCAGGCATCTGCTTCTGGAACTGCTCCGCAAGCCTTCGCAGGTTGTCCAAGTTATCCGGGCCTGGCAAAAAGGAATTTCCTGTTGAGACATGGTGTAAACGCACTTGCTTGGTTGAGATGTTTTACTGTCTTTCGATTCAAGTATGGTGGTATTAACACAGTGAGCAAGACATTTCACCAGAACATAGGCAATTATTGGACTAGACTAATGTGAGAATGTGAAGGGGGACATACCCAGTTGGTTGATAATTGTCGGCAGTAAATCTTGCAGCTCTGTAAACAATAAAAGCCAAAAATGAAATTGCAGTTACATCAAGTCAAAAAATGTAGTGCTCAGTCACAAGGAACATATATGGTAATGAAGAATATATAGTATATAGTATGTAGCAAGGTGTACATCTTCAACCTCATGATATCATCATTAGTAAACTGTAACATTACTTTTGAAACATAATGAGACTACTAACTTTGATTTACAAAAGTCATGTACAGACAGTTAAAGTTGATAGCATATGCCATCTACATCATAATATTTATGTACCCATGAAACTTAAAGGTAGATGCACAACTAAAGATGAGATCACTGCCAAAGCAGCATATCTTAGAGATATTTATGTTGCTCCAGAGAAAGAAGGCTACTTAATGAAACAATTAAGCCATGAAGATTTTAAAGCAGGACTTACTTTTCGTCTGTGGTGTTCCACTGACTACCCATGTGTTTGCGGCAATTGATGCTTGCACTGCAGGAAATCAAGAAATACCAATGTTAGAATAGATGTGCAAGTGGATCCTTAATTCTGTAGACGAAATGGTACAAAATGTCATTTCACCTTTCGGGTTCTGAAATTGGATGACAACGTCATCCTTGAAAATGTTGACCTCTTCAATACCAGGAATGGTGTTCACTCCTACTCTCTTCAAGGTGCTTTGAAGCCTCTTGTCATCAGTGGTCGTGGTCTTGTGAACGGCCTTCTTCTTCCTGCCATCAGCGGAAAGCTTTTCAATAATAAGTATAGCAATAGGAGAAACGTTCATACTATTTTTATACTCTATAAGCTGATATGCATCCACTAAATGGCATTCACTGACAGACCAATACAGAAATGTAACACCAGTATGTTTGGATGATGATGTATGCTTTAGCTAGCATGCTTCAAATTTGGCATTTCTAAACAGGATATCAGCAATAATGGTTCACAGGGCACAAATTATTCATTCCGAGGAGACATTTTAGGGCTGAAACAATAGATTTACTACCGTGCTTCAAGCAGGAAACACTAGTGCTCACACCAAAACCAATATGGACGACAGTAATAACAAGTTTAACATCGGAGAAAGCACCTGCGCACGCTGCCCTTGCCCCCGGTGCGCACGGCACCGGCCATCTTCTTCAGCTTGTCGACATTCATCTGCACGACACACATGAGTTCTTGCGTTAATAACGGTACATGGGAGCAAAAAAAAGGGATCTCCCAGTACTCTTGGTCAAAGTTATAGTAAGTGTTGAGCCGTGGAAGCAGGGCCGGCGGCATGGGCAGCGTCCAGTCACTGACTACTCCGGCCGCGGAGCTGCAAGTTGCCAAATCTAGCAGCGGGCGATTCATCCTACCCTACCGACCCCGAATCAGCTTGAACGACAGAGCAGCCAGATCGAATCTCGCGCCGACCAGTCCGCCGGGCAAAATCCGACCTAAGCCAAGCACACCCGCGACGGCAGCAACCGGAACCACGACGCCAACCGGCGAATCCGCAGGCACGACAGATCGACGGCACCGTACAGTCCATCTCCGTCCATCTGCCCGCCCGCAGGCCACGCGATTAAACTAAAAGCTGCGGCAGCAGAGCGTAGCGCCGCAAGGGGGGCAGGAGATGGGCGCTGGGGGCATACCTTGGGCAGGCGACGACGGC